GGCAAGCTGGGGGGGAGGGGAGGCACGCTGGGGGAGAGGGGAGGGATGCAGGGGGCAGGGAGGCATGCGGGGGGGAGGGGAGGCATGCGGGGGGGAGGGGAGGCATGCAGGGGGGAGGGGAGGCATGCAGGGGGGCAGGCAGGCCTCCCCAGCGAACACCAAAACCAGCAAGAGCAGAGGAGGCCACCCGCTGGGCCTGGGCCTCTCTCTCATGGCCCCAGGACCCCAGCCCCTCAGGCTGGGAGTCAGCCTTTTCCAGTCACCCCCCGGGTACCTGAGGGGTTACACCCTCTTGCCCTGGTCCAGGGCCCCAGCACAGCTGCCCTGCCCCCACTGTCTCTTCTCCACAAAGCAACCAAGGGATAGAACCTACACAGGGAACATGTCCCTCCTCGGTTCCCACCTCACAAAATCCAAGTGCTCCCCGTGGCCCATGAGGCCCTTCAGGACCAACCTGTCGCCCCTCTTACAGACACAGCCATTACCCGCATCATCATGCTGGTGGGGGGCAAGACTGGGTCCAAGGTCTTCAAGGAGGAGGAGGAGGGTCAGGGTGGAAGGGTGGGACCCTCAGAGGGGCTCCGACATGCGGGAGGGTGAGGTGAGAATATTCTGGGGCTCCCAGTGTGCAGCAAAGAGAACTGAGCACCTGTTCGTTCATCTCCGGGTCTGAGAGCCTGATGAGCTGGTGCAGGTGGAGGTGCAGGGGTGGCAGATGACTGCGGGGGGAGTAGGTGGCAGGAGGGAGGAGAAGCGGACAGAGGGGGCTTGAAATGGAGCTCTTTGACGGCAGGCAGGCTTGTGTGGCCTCTGGGCTCCGAATGAGCACAGGAAGGAAGAACCTGGAAGCCCTGTGAGGCTGGGTGGCTGCTGGCCTCTCTCGAACCCCAACTCCCCCTCCCAGCAGCCATGTCCCCCTGAGCCTCTGTTGCAGTGACAATCAGGACTCTGTGTGGCTCAGAGGGGACGGAGGGCTGCATTTTCCTCTCCACTCTGCCTTCGGGACAAACAGGCTATGGGTGTGGAGGAGGCCTGCTAAACCGGGGGTGAGGACTCTCTGGGGGAGATTGGGACCTCCCGGGGAGCGCCTAGAGGTGGGGGCAAGACAAACAGAGCGGCGAGGGCTGTTCCTGGCCCCGGGGGACCTCAGGAGTGTCAGGAGAAGAGCAGCCAGCTGGGAGCGCCCAGGGACTGCGATCGGAGGGGAACAGAACAGGTGAGACCCAGCTGCCCAGCCTTAGACCCAAAGGCTGATGGCCCGCATCCTGAGGGCGGATCCCCGGCCTAGGGCTGTGGAAGCCCCCCCCCCCCCCCCCCCCCCCCCCCCCCCCCCCCCCCCCCCCCCCCCCCCCCCCCCCCCCCCCCCCCCCCCCCCGCAGCCGCTAAGGGCCAGCCTTGGCCACCACTTCCTGCCACCCAGGCCCGCCCCAAGGCACCACTTCAGAGGGACGGTCTCTGGTCTCCGTCTAGTCTGCCTGGCTCTGACCAGACTTTCCTTCCAGCTCTCAGTGGAGGCGTTCTGCCCTCCTGGGTCAGTCCTGGACACCCTCTTCTGAGCCTCAGGAGTCTGAAAGCCGTCCGCTTCCTTCTGGCACCCTCCGCCTCCTTCTGGCACCCTCCGCCTCCTCCTCTGGGCAGCCGCTCAGGAATGGCCCCGCTGCCCCTTCCCTGGGGTTTCAGCCCCCAACCCCCTTTCTGCTCCTGTTCTTCTCAGGTGCTTGCCTGGGAAAATCGTCCCTGGAAACCAAACCCAGGAATGCGAAAATGGGTGTGGGAAGTGGCAGCCCCTCCTCGGCAACAATTTCCAGAGGATTCTGCGGAGCGGAGTTTCCATGGGAACATGTACGGTTCCACACAGGACATCGGTGGGGCCTGGGTTCTCCTCACACCCAAGACTGCAGGGCCGTGCCCTGGGGGGCCTCGCCGGGCGCTGCGGCCATTACATTTTGGCCACCAGCCCTCACCAACCTGAAATCCGGTTACTGGCAAATCTGCTTTTTTTTTTTTTCTTTCTTTCTAATTTAAAGGCACACTCCATTCTAAGGATGCCTCTGGGGTTTCCAGAATGGATTTTTATGTAGCTCAATAGGTTCTTTGGCAGACGGCTCAGCCAGGAGAGGTGGGCCATGGCCCCGGCCCAGCCAGGCTGACAGAGCGGTGTCTCTCTGTCCCTCCCGTGCGCCAAGGGACATCATTTACTGGCCCGAGGGGCTTCCTCAGGCCTGGATTCAGACTCCAAGAGTCGGGGACATCAGCACGGGGCCCTGGGACACGTCCCTTGCGAGGCTCCTTCCTTGACCTGCGCTCATAACCACGGCCTGCGAGGCTTGGGGGAGCGTGGGCAGAGCCCCCTCTCCGCACTCCGTGTTTAGTATGTGTTTATCCAAGCAGGTGATGCAGGCGTACCAGGCATAATGCAGGCAGTAAAATTCCCTCTGATTCTCCTGCCAGTTATAGCCTCCATCCCAGTCCCCCTGCCCTGAGGTGACCACTGGGTCATTTGGGTGCGTCTGTTTTTTTCTTCCAGGCTATTTTTATTGCATCTACGTATATATGCATATATACAAACATATAAAATATATAGTGCTCGTGCGCGGTTCTGGAGCTTAAATGGAATGTTTCTGTAGGTGCTTGCTTTGTTCATGCAGCCCCACGTGGTGGAGATCTGCCCGTGACAGCCACACAGAAGCTGCCAGACTCTTTAATTACAGCGAAGGATTCCACAGGACCGACGGATCCTAATTTAACCAAGCCCTTAGAAACGGCCTTTTCCGTTGTTTACAATTTTTAGCCTCGCAGAAGGTGCTGCAGGAAACATCCCTGGACATGATTTGCAAAACTTTCTCTGCGGGGAAATG